TTAATTCTTTAACTGAATTGGTCATACCACTGAGTCCAACTTCTCTTTCTTTGTGCAACTCCCCTATAAATTACAAATTTAATCCATGGAGTGCAGTGCCTTTCCTGGTTGATTTGTGGCAGACAATGGAGCGAGGCAGGCTTGTTATTTGTCTCAGCATCAGATCATTTGTCCGTTGCCACCCTGCTGACTGCCACACGTGCTCCATCAGGAGAGCCAGTTGGGTCCTGTTTGCAGTGAAGACTCTAGTGTTTTCCCTGGCAGAGCCTCCATGGTTACAGCAGTCCTGGTTCTCATTCAGATGTGGGATTTTCCAAAACTATGTGAGCAGGTACATTTTTAGTTCCAGAAGTCTATGTGGCTTTGCAGTTTCCTCAGTGTATTTTGGGGCCCTCTGCCAAGAGGACCAAAGGAGAAACAGGGTCTCTTTTCCCCCAACCAGTCTCACAAAGATAACTGTCCTGATTCTGAGGCTGAGGTAGACTAGCACCATGGAGGACTCCTGTCCAGTGAGAAAGGATTGTTTGGCCTCCTGGAGGATTTTTTCGGTCTGTTCTGTAAGACAGACATGCCCTAATTTCTTCCCCGTACCCCACAGTCCATCCTTCACCCCCCACAGGTGCCTCCAGCTGACCCTATCCCAAAGAGAATAATTTCAATTGTGTTTGGACTCTTCCAGATTAAGCATAGCATTCTCCTATTCTCACCTCCATTCAGCCAGGAAGTCAAACTAGCAAGCGATCATCAGATGCTTCCTTGTTTCCAGGCTTGCACTGCAAAAGGAAGGCACACTGAAACATGACTCTTGAATTTGATTTAAAAACTGAATGATTTCCCCAAAATATTCATGTCCTCAAATGCTATGTGGGATCTTGGAAGGAATTCAAAGAAAAATATCCCTTGTCACACTTATACTTCCACTCCAACACACTGATATGAGAAATTTGTTTTGAGGGGGAAAAGCTAAAACCTTGGCCAATTTTGAGATTTCTGTTACTTATCAAATCAATCATAGAGCAAAGTATATATTAGTGTTTGGTTGTATATTTTATAGCAGAAAACAATCACATCTAATTTATGTCTAAGAGGAAAGCAGGAATTAATTGAAGAGATATCATGTAGCTGCTGCCTGGGTGGAAGAATACAGAATTAAGTGGAAGCAAGACAGAATCCAGACTAAGATGTAGGAACACTCTGGAATTGGGACCGCAGGAATTAATTGATAACCTCATCTGTATTCCTTTGGAATGAATACGTTCCAGAATTGTTTTTCCTGGGTATGTGTTTGTTAGAGTCATCAGGCTAGAAGTCATAATCTGGCTCAAATCATGTTCTCGGCCAGCTCCTTGATTTGTTCTGACCAGAACAATGACCAATGAGAAGAGCTGGATGAAGGGACTATAAGGACCACACCTGCTTCCATGGAAGGAGGAAGGGGCCTGGATTTTCCCACATTCCAAAAAGACACACCATTAAAGAAGATTAATTCCCCCAGAAAGAATTCAGTCGGTGATTTGTTAAGAAGGGGATACGTGGTAGGAAATCATGACCAAAGCTATCATATGTCCACCAAAACTGGACACTAGGCTTTCCAGATGTTCTAGCCCATAGTTATATGGAGGGTTATCTACTCTATGAAGCATGAGCATCCAATTGCTAGAGCCTTCGGAGAGAAGACCTACTCTTTCTGTCCAACGCTGTCTGAGAGAGTTCTTTTGCATCAGCTGGATATTGAGTACTGCACTGACCACTTGACCAGCATATTGGGAGACAAAAATCTGGATGGGTGCTTATACATCAAACAGAAGAGACACACAGAAAAATGAAAAAGAGAAAGCAAGTCAAAAAGCATTAAGAGGCAAGTTCAGAGCAGGGATTAGACTGCCCATGAGGCATGGTGGGGCATTCTAAAAAGAGTTTTTGGAAGATACAGAATTAGTGCTATGATTTTTAGACAAGAAAGAAGTTCAAGTTTGTAACTGGCCACAGTGAAGGGAGAGTACACCATAGCTTGGGCTAAGTATCAAAGGTAGGAATATGACACTGGGGCTATGTCACAACTACAAGAAGAATGGCTTGGCAGAAAGGTAGGATTTAGGTTGACCCAATGCTGTGCTCTCAACAGGCTACTGGGAAAATCGACCATGGGGCGAGTTACCAGAAATTCAAGCCCAGTTGAATCAGACAGGAGGCTCAAGTTCATCTCATCAACCTAGGCAAATTAAGGGAGCCCTTTTGCTTTACAACTTCATAAGATTCTCAGCCACAGGAATATAACAGTTTCTTGCCCTGAAACTTGCCATTTAGGGCAGCTACAATAAAATCATAGTGTGCATCATCATCCCACCCCAACCTCTGCCAAAAAGAAAAAAAAACATAATTGCTGATATTACCATTTTGTGCACTGGATGAGAGTTTCCAAAAACAATAACAATTAATTTTCTTTGGTGGTGTTAGCCAAAAAAGCCGTGAGGTGCCAGGTTTCCATGATCTTCTTAGATCATCTGGCATCTGTGAACAATGGCTATGAGGAACAAGCCCTTGGAGGCTTGTAAAGTTGTGTTATAACCCCGATGTTAGAGGTTTCATATCTTGGCCATTCCACATCACAGCAGGTAGAAAACCCAGAGTGGAAAATGTCAGCCTGGATACAAGTTTCCTCCACAGAAATATTGCCTCAACATAGCTGAAATCCTTAGAGATCTTTTCTGTGTAAAGCTTCAAAAACACCCTAGCCTTGGCTTCAGATGCCTTTTTGACGCTACTCCAGACATATTTAAGAAATGGGTCTAATTTTGAAGGATATATTTAGGCAGCCAACCAAGGCCTAAAAGTGGAATAAGCTATCCTGATTTTATGTAAAAAGAATTTAAAAAAAATAAATGTGGCCAAATGTCAGAAATTTCTGAAGGCATTTATACTGATCTTCCATCAGTTAAAGAAGTTTAAGGTGGAATGAAAGAGATGAGTGTGCCATATGACTTGGGGTGTGAACTCTTCTCAGTTATTTTGAGACCATTGCTATAAAGAGGATCTTCAGTGTGATAGACACAGCTTATCCTTCCTTCCAAGATTTTTTAAACCCCATGAAAAAGTCTCTTTAAAAAGTAGCATTAACACTCAAATTTGCCAGCAAAGAGTAAGATAGCCTTGTCCTGCTTCCTGAAATGAGAAGCTAATGTCACATTTTTTTTCTAAGCTTATTTTTTCCCAGTTATCTTTTCTAAACAGGGTGCTGACAAGATAAGAGAGCTAACTTGTTTTGGATGATAGTCAAGCATTAAAAATGGAAAATGAAATGAAAATGAAAGTGGAAAATGAAAAAAATAACTGCAACAACCACTACAAGTGAGAAATGAAAGTCACTCCATTGAGGACCTGCTATGGAAAAGAACAATGTGGGATATTATAAAGAATTTTAAAAGCGATACTTGAAAGGAATTTAAATATGGATTGTAAAACAAAGGATATGTGTGTGCATGTGTGTGTGCAAAAACATGTTTGACAAGTACCAAATGCAAGGCAATGATTGCTACCGTTTGCAGAGTGTCTGTTAAGGGGCAGGTTCTACTTCACCTGGTTCTATACATTAGCTAGTTATAGAATTTTCTGGTTTCCAATGCTCCATCCACACTCTCCCAGCACTAGGTCCCCATGCATGTCAACCCACCTTACTAAGAGCACCTACAGTCCTCCACCGACGGCTTTCTCCTGGTGCTGGAACATGGTCAGCCCCTCATTGGGCAATTTGTCTGGGCGGAGAGTTAACACCCCTGGGAGCAGCCCTCAGTCAATAATCAACAAGAATTGGTGCATAAAATTTAAAATTAAAAAAAAAAAAAAACCTTGCCTTGAGGGTGCCTGGGTGGCTCAATTGGTTAAGCGTGCAACTCTTGGTTTCAGCTAGGGTCATGATCTCACAGTTCACTGGTTCAAGCCCCAAGTTGGGTTCTGCGCTGGCAGTGTGGAACCTGCTTAGGATTCTCCCTCTCTCTCTCTCTCTCTCCCTCTCCCCTGCTCCCTCAAAATGTGCTATTGTGCTATTGACTAAGAACTGAATTTTTAATTTTGTTCACCTTTCATTTGTTTAAATTAAAATGCGGTTGTGTGTTGAACACTGTTAGGTTTAGATAAATCACAATTCATCCCCTCTCCCATTGAGATTACATTAGCAAAAAAGCAGGTGAGGAGAACATGGCCAGTAGACAGACAACCAATTGTGTCTGCCCTAATTTACCATTATTAGGTTTATGTCTTAAATCTTATTTTGTCACTTTTATTTGTAACAAAAACAACAAAGAAGGCAACACTTTAAATACCTTAAGTTCTAGAACACTGTACTCTACTGTATTCCCAGAAACAGAACCGAGCTAAGCCACAGTACCACAGGAAAGAGGTGATGAGGGGCTTGCTTTTCCATCCCACCTCCAGCTGAATCGTAGGCAATCTGTTAAATGTTGACTGGGGAGAAATACCTGATCTGTGTGCAACCAAACAGTCATTCTCAACATGAGAACATAGGTATGGTAGGATGTTGGAGAGCTCAAAGCAATCATGAATTAGAGGATTATAACTTCTTTTAACAGTATTTGTTTCAGTGAAACTTGTACATGTGTGAGGCTCTGATTGTTTAGTGAGTGTTGGCTTCATCTTTGTCTCTCTTGCCTATCGGGATCACCGATTCGTGCTATGGATCGTGTGTGACCATTTCTAGCAGTGATACCAATGAGGGATGAGGATGAGCACTCCCCCGATACCCATAAGGTCAAACTACCAGCTTTCATTGTTACCACCTTGTCAGAATCTCTGTGTGGGCCATCAAGGTTCAGTAATAGCTGGAATTACTCCTCCAGTCTAGAAGAATAGCATGTGAGGCAGGTTGGGCTCCTGAAAACAGGTACTGAGACAGAGTTTTGAAAGTAAATTGTTAACAGGGGTCAACACCTGTGAAGGAAAGGGAGCAAAAATAAGATGGGGCAGAGGAAACAGTCAAACTGTGGTACAGGCATGACAAATCTTGATCATCATGATGGGGACCACCCGTTGTCATGCATAAAGCAGAAATTGCCAGACTTGTATTCTCTTTTTTCACTTTGAGAGGGACTGGAGTTCCAGCAAGTCTGCCATCTGCAGCTGAGGCAAAGCCTGAAGGTGCTGGCAGCTGGGTACCCCCACCATGCCCATAACTCCACAACTGGAAACAAGTTCTGCTTTGAAGGTGAGTCTGGGCAGCACATCAGTGTGTCTGCAACACATGGCTAGATAAGTCCTTGTAGGCATCTCAGGAATCTGAAAGCACAAAACATCAATTTTCTGAATAGTTAATGAAGTTATATTATTGGTTGATTTTCACTACATTTGACCAAAGTGCCCACTCTTCTAGGTAGGTCTGGAGTCCACTGTATATTAGCATAGACAGCAGTCAAGTCTGATGCTCGATTTGTTGTTGTTGTTGTTGTTGTTGTTGTTGTTGTTGTTTTAATTTCTGATGTGATTTTTTGGCTGCATTCATGTTCCATGTTGTAAATTTGAACACTGAATGGACAAAATGGCATATTGAATTAACTGTTTTTGTCCATTCTACTTTCAGGAACCCTTTGAGGACATGTGACCCAAATTTTGAAGGTCTTTTTTTCAATTATACTTTTCCCTGGGCTGTTTTTTTGTATGCACATACCATATTCTCTCAGCTGAGAGCAACTGTCTTCTTTGAAAGCCATATTAATTATAATAAGTGTATGATGATTTTCTAAATGCACAGTAAAATAGCTTTTTATTCACCAAAATGTTGTGAGAAAAATTTATTGGTAGCTATGCCCTTATAAAGAAGCATTCAATCAATAAGAACACCTCACGAATGCTCACTGGGAAGAAGTGTAGCTCTAATGTCTCCCCTTGACTTCCGCTGTGCAAAGCTCTCTTGTGTTTTATTACATTTTAATCCTGCAGCAGCTTACAGGGTTGGAAAACTAGAAAGAACAACCTCATCTTACAGATTAGATGTCTCCCTCAAAGCAATTGAGTGGCTATCAAAGACCACCCCACCCAAAAATTACACAGCAGTCTTTCATTTCAAGTTGTCCTAATAAATCAAAGACTGCACATGTGCATTTGTAGGACACATTCATCCATATTAAAATCTGTGCCTGCTGGCCCCAGTGGATTTGTTTGCCAGGAACTATGATCATAAACAATAAAAAAGAATTGGGAAATGAGGATATCTGGGGAAGCATTGTTTATGGAGTGCCCAATGCAAAATGTAGTGGATTCTCTGCATGTCTCATATAACTAAGTCTTCCTTCACCAGGACCAAGAGATGGAGAACCACTAAAGCCATTCCACAGATGAAGAGATCAGAACTTCAATCAGTTATCAAAAGTGGTGGAACCAGCAGTTCAACTCCTTAATGTCTGACTTCAAACTTCTGGCATTCTCCTGATCCCTCTCCCCCTCCCTGCCCATCTCTCCCCCTCTCCTGTCCTCACCACTGCAACTGCTTTTGTCCTTGGAAGAATAAGTGTTATTATCTCAAAGAATTCTAGTATTCTGCAACTCCCCTGAGTGTTGTTGTTATTATTATTAATAAATAAAGAGATATAAGAGAACATAAGGGAAATTGTCTTGGATGCACTAAACTCAAAATTAGAAGTTTTCCCCCAATATTCCATTTCAGAAGAAAAGAAAATAAACTTTCCAAATGGGTTCCAGTTGTAACTAAAAGTCATCTAGAATTTTATCCCAAACTTTTGAACTATTTCAGACCTTGGTACCCTTCAAAGCCCTCAGGTTTGTGATGTGCCCATTAATTCCCTATGAGGTAGTTATGTCCTCAAGTTGGGGGGGTAGTGTGGCAAGAATCCCACTGTAACTTTGACAAATCTGATCTCATTCATCATCATCTCTGCTTCAGCTACCATCTGACAACTCACCGGTCTCTAGGCACAGATACATGCTCTAGATCTGGAACCCTTCACTATATTCACTGTAATGAGAAAATGCGCCAATATTTCGATGATGGTAGGATCTGGGTTTCTCAATGTTAAAGGTTAGTTCACCCGTTTCAGAAACTCAGAGTCTGTCCAAATAAAAAGAAAAAATGTAACATCAGCTGGTGGCTTCTTGCAACTTTTATTTTATCTAGAAAGAATTAATAGTAGTAGAAAGGAAGGGTGCCTGGGTGGCTTCAGTTGGTTGAGCATCTGACTTCAACTCAGGTCATAATCTCATGGTTTTTGAGTTTGAGTCCCACATCAGGCTCTGTGCTAACAACTTGAAGCCTGGAGCCTGATTTGGATTATGTGTCTCCCTCTCTCTGCCCCTCACCTGCTCTCTCTCTGCCTCTCTCTCTCTCTCTAAAAATAATTTTTTTAAAAAAAACATTTCAAAAATTAGAAAAATAGCAGAATTTGGGAGGTCTGGGCTAAGGTGGGATCCAGAAGCATGGACTCTGCAGCCAGACTGGATTCATCCCCATCTCCCACCCACACTAGCTGGACCATGGATATGTTACTTAACCTCTCTTGGCCTCAGTTTTTTTTAAGCTTTAAAATAGGGGTAGCTCCTACATCAGAGTCTTATCATGAGGAGCCATATTGAATCTATGTCAGGCTATATAAAATGTTTGTTAAACTATTATAGATGATAGATAGATAGATAGATAGATATACAGTTATAGATATAAGGAGAGAGAGAAATAGAAAATATATTGGGGGGGAAGAAAGGAGTACACAACTTACAAATGCAAGTTATGACCTTGATAAAGGCAAAGATTTCTTAACAGGACACAAAGAGCAGTAAGCATGAAGAAAACTTGTAAAAACTGGACTACGTCAAAATTAAGAACTTCTGTTTTCTGGAAAGCATCACTATGAGATTGAAAAGGCAAGTCATAAAGCAGGAGAGGTTATTACAGTATATATGCCTGACAGAGGACTTGCCAGAATATATAAAGAATACCTACAAATCAATAAGAAAAAGCTGCAAAACCCAATAGAAAAATGGTCAAGAGACTTGAACTGACATTTCACAAAAGAAAACTCCCAAATGGCTAACAAGCATATGAAAAGATTCTCAACACAATTATTCATGAGGTAAATGCAAATTAAAACCACAACATGATAGCAATGGATATCAACCAGGATGGTTTGAATGACTAACTGAAAAAGGCAGAGCATACCGACGTGTTGGCAAGTATGAAGAGCAACTGAAACACCAATGTTTTTTGAGAACTGTAGGTAGAGAGACACCATTTAGAAAATAATGAGACATTTACGACCCAAAAAAAGAGTTAAAATGGCTACTGTCTGACCACCCACTGGATAGAACCAAGTTTCTTTTCTCTTGCTTTTTTTTTTTTTAAGAGAGCGTGCAAACACACACACACAAGCAAGAGAAGGGTAGAGAGAAGGAGAGACAGAATTCCAAGCAGGCTCTACACCATCAGCACAGAGCTCAATGCAAGGCTCAAATTCAAAATTGTGAAATCATGACCTGAACTGAGATCAAGAATCAAACACTTAACCAACTGTGTCATCGAGGCATACCAAAGCAAGTTTATATTTGAAATGTGAATATAATAATTATCAGGGCCTATAAAATAACTACATGGTGAGTCATGCAAAAATCTACAATGTCTACACAATATGAATAATGATTCTCTCACCCCATTCCTGTGCTAGAATAACCAGTTGCTTACCTCCTGCTTCATCTTCAACCCTTTTGACAATGCACAGAAATAGCAGGTTGGTATTTCATTAAGATGTAAAAGGAATAGAAAGGCTGGATGCAATATAGTGGTTGTAAAGTAGAGATTTCTGATTGACCTTCAGTGAGCAGGCAGTTATCTAAGAAAAGTGACCTCAGATCCCTATCAGATGATTCTTCTATGTAGAGGCCATCTTGTACGGTGCTCCATTTTTGTGTTACCAGTTCCACTCAAGAAACAAGATCCTGCATGATAAAGTGCTTTTGAAACTTTGAGAAACTAAGCTGTTTTTAGAGGCATTCAAGATAGACTTGTGTTAGACTGAATTGTGTTTTGTGGGCTCATGGTGCTTTCTTGCTCTGTGTAGTTTGGGTCCTCTAAGAAAGAATATGAGATTGGACATGAAGGAGATTCGTTGGAGAATTTCTTATGAGATTAGATGCGAGGTAGTCAGGGAGATAGGGACTGGGGAGATGGGGCTTCAGACTGAAATTCTGTGAAAGTCTTAGCTGGGGTAACTGGGAGTCCCCAAGCAGAGGTTACTAATACAGAGTCCCACATTGGCAAGAAGGGGCTGGTTCTAGCAGCCTTGCTATGTTCAGCCATTGGTTGTGACCAATGTGGGGAAAGCACAGCCTCAGCATAACTATGATGGTGGATCTGAAGGTGTGGCACCTTGCACTTCAATCAACTGCTTCTTAGAGCAGATTCCTTCCAATGAAGAACTCGGTGGTGCCCCTCCATGGCTGACACACTTTTTGTTTCCTAATGAAAGCTGAATAATGTAGCAATAATAACAGTAATAGGAACTAACATTTTGAATACTTATCATATGCCAGATACTTTTCTAAGTACCTTACATATTGACAACTCATAAACTAGGAATGGAGGGGAAGGGGAAAGTGGGTGATGGGCATTTAGGAGGGCACCTGTTGGGATGAGCACTGGGTGTTGTATGGAAATCAATTTGACAATAAATTCCATATTTAAAAAAAAAGGAATGGAGGGGAAGGAGTTAACTATTCTGATGACCTTACATATGCAAAACAATGTTCCAGGTACTTTATCTGTGCACTCTTGTTGTAAGGTTCAAGAAATGTTGGTTTAAACACCAGTCTTACCATTAATTTACTGTTTCATCTTCAATGTGTCCTCAGAGACCTCTAGATCTCTGTTAAAAAATATCTTAGAGATTCTTATTGCATGCTTTTCAGTTCCTTTGCAATTTGTAATTGTATCTTCGCTTATTTATCTGTGATGCCTATCTAATGAGGATGAAGAATTTGCCTGTTTTACTTATCAGAATAAGGGTTTGCACAGTGAATATCCGTAAGTCATAAATAAATATGAGTTAAATCAGTGAATAAATTTTCATAGTCTACTCTCTGTCAGTTACCCAGAGAATCTCATTTCCATCACCCTACAAATAAAATATCTATGGGTTTTTTTTGTGTGTGTTATAAACATTTGTATGTCTATAAGTACTTAATTATTTAATTTGTGGTAAAAGTTTAAAAAAACAAAATTATGGCATCAATGTAATGAATAAGCTTTGTTGTAAAATCTCAATAAATCTGAATATTCTAATTTCCACTTTTGATCTTATTCCCCCTGCTCCCCCCGCACAAGATAACACACACAGTCTGCTGAGACACTAAATCACACGACCCCTGAGTATGGTGACCACAAATCTCAGAATTTCTGGAGCAGGATCAATTCCCAATATTCTTTCTATTGTCTTTTTTCTGGGCAGATATACTCACAAATCATAAACAAAACATTCTTTAGCAGACCGGCTCCCAATTTTTGATTCAGAAAATATGGTCACCAGATTCTCAAAACTTCTGGAAGCTTTTCTTAGGAATTGTTTAGGGGAACTTTGGGTTTGTGGTGAACAGTTTTCCTGAAAATAAATCTAAGTGTCACAATACCTATTTCCATGTGTCAACAGCCTATTCTCTTAAACCTTTGAGGGTCTCTGTGCCTCCTGCTTGACCCTTTCCTACTTTCCTACCTGCTCACCTCCTTGACCCACCAGGCTCCCATCCTTCACCTTGCTTTGAGGAGTTAGTCTTCCCTAACCCTCCTCTGTGGCACCAGTAATCAAAAGAGTGTTCTATGACTTCACATGGTTTGAAACTCTTTTTCATAGAACTAGTGGGAGAAAGGTTTATGCTAGATTTTAAAGGCTGTCTTAAATTATATTCTCCGAGACGTAGACCTTGAGACAAAAGGCTTTCTTTGGGAGATAATCCCAAGCAGTATTGGACAGAATGTGGGATTAAGGAAATGAGACAGGAGAGGGATGGAAGCCAATAGGTGGAGATGGTAAATAAGCAGATTACCTCTATGGGCAACTGGGGCTCCATACCCTGGAAGAGGGTATGGAATCCTCTGGAAGAGGGTGTAGAACATGCTTCTGTGTCATCCCACTGAGGGGCAAAGGAGTTACATCTTTAATCCACCAATTCCTATCTGAGATGGGTTGTGAGTTGGTCCTGGGGTTTTTTTTCACCCCCCAAATGCCAGTCTGCACCAACCCCAGGCAAGCAAAGTATGCTCCTGTGGCTCAATAAAGTCCTTGAACAATGAACCCAGTGTGCTTTCAGTAAGAAGCCCTTGGAATACATGAACAGGGAACCATCAGGGTCTGCCACAAAGACTAGAGGCACCTGAGAGCTGGGTGTGATGAACTTCTGTCTGAACTAATTCTCAGCCTGAAAACTTATGTCTCAGGCTCATCCAGTTTGATTTTAACTAATGTAGCCCCTTAGCCCACACTAGCTGTTCCTCACAGAGCTTTTTCTCTGATCTAGAAAGCAACTCCTTGCCTTGGTTCATTCACGGAGCCTTATGCTAATAAGGAAGAGCTCAGGAAACAGAGCACATAAGCAAAGAGTGGATTTCCATTGTGACTGGACCATATGTGTCTGCTATGGTAGAGGTGGTCTGGGATGTCACCACAACTGTGTATCATGTGCTGGACAATTGCTTTTCAACATTTATTGGATGTGACAATGTACTAGGTGTGGTCCTAGCCCAGGGGACTTAAAATCTAAATAAACCTCTAACTGTCTTTGATGTATGGTATTTTCCTTTCCTTTCATTCGGTGGTTCTTGGCAGCAGGTGCTGACATTTTTATTATTCACACATATGTCTCCAGGATACCATCTCACCAGAACACTTCAAATTTATGCAGGAACTTTCTTCCAAGGAGTCCAAAGCTCTTCTAAATAAACCATCTCTATCATCACGGGATTTTAAATGCAAGAAAATCTCCATGTGAAGGAAAAGAGGGGAAAACATGTTTCCCTCATGTCATACCTAGAGAAAGCAAGGACCACCGTGGGATGTGGCTTTCACAAAGGCTCTTTGCTACATGGGAGCAAGAAGCCTCAGTCTTTACATCTATAAAATAGGGAAGATAACAATAAGACCAACCATATATACGTCTGTGAGAGGAATAAATAAGACAGCTCATGTGCCTGATACAAGACCAGGACATACTGCATGTGAATCATAATCATAACACCACAGAGATTCAAGTCTTAACATGCAGCCTCTCCTTAATGTGCAACTCGCCATAACATCTGGGTAAAATAGGAAAAATGAATTCAAGGACTGGTCCCAGTGTCTGCCATAATGGGAACCACAACATGTACCCTGAGCCTCATTTTTATCATGATGATGATGTCCCCCTTACATCCTTTTTTCAGAGTACTTTGGTGAAGCTTGGAGAAAATGGTACCTTTTGTGGTAGATGGGGTTGCGGTTTACAATCCTTCACTCCCCCATTTGCCATACAATTTGGTGGCCCATCCATCAATAATGGGATTGGCCATGTAACTAGATTTGTCCAGCAGGATCCTGGCAGCAGTAACACATGCCAAGGCCATAACATGCTGCATAGTTTGATTCGGACTCTTGTGGGATCGACCCAAGTAGAGAGGAGTACCACCTCTTACCACCACCTACCCTCCCATCTGGAGCACACTAGGGTTAACAGTGGAGTTACAAAAACAACCATAGTTCACATTCATTAAGCTCTTACTGTGTACCCAGGCACTGCTGTCAGCTTTTGACACCGTTTAACTCATATAATTAACAACAACCTTAGGAGCAGGTACTATTGTTACCCCAATTTTCATATACAGCAACAAAAGCCCATGGAGGACAAGTTACTCACCCAAGTTCTTCCAAAAGCAATGAGGTTGCAGCTTAAAACTATGTGATCTGACTGCAGGGCCCAACTGTTGACCATTACACAGTACACAGAACATGGAAGTTAGGAAAACAAAGGACAGAGAACTCTAGAGCACAAACTCATCTGGGTGCCATGTGCCATTATGATAGGGTGCTTCAGCTGCAAAGTGAATGCGGATCTGAGCTCAAATCCTGACTCAGCTTTTCATCAGCCGTGTGGTCTTGGGCAGATGTAAATGTCTCTGGGCCTCTATTTCCTCACCTCTAAAATGGGATAGTATCAGTCCCTGACTGCTAGAGCTACTGTAAAGATTGAATGAGTCCGAGCCTATCCAGGGCTAACACTGAGCATTGAGCAATGTTAGTGTCCCTTACAGCAACCAGGCTTGATCACTGTAGAACCCTGACCATCTCTTTTGTAAGAGTGAAGTGGTTAGGAAAAGTGACAGAAGCCCTGATGACAAATTTTCCCACCTCTGTGCTTAGCCCTGGAGCAGGTCTGACAAAGACAGAGCAGTCTTTCGCCCTGTTGCTGAAAAAACAGATTCTTCCTCAGATGGGAATGTGTAGAGCTCAGGTGTTAGATTTTGGTTTATGTTTTTAGATCAGCATCCAAAGGTTCGGGCAACTGATGTCATTCCCCTCTCACTTACCCAGGAGTCTAGAAAACCCAAGGATTCCAGGTAGGGGAGAGTGGCACAGGGCCAAGGGCACATCAGCCTTGCTGCCAGAGACAGAATGGGTGGCCTCAGCTCTGAGACCAGCTGCTGCCTGATGACACCAGCTTTCTGAAAAGTTAAAAAATATCGTCAACTTTAGTGCCAACTTCCAAAGGGGCATATCCATCCTCTCTCAATCTTCTAACCATCTCCTTATCTTTGCTGGAAAGATCCATTTAACACATCTCCATACATCCATTTAACACACTGTTTATTATAAGAATGAATTTGTGTCAGTACTCCAGGCACTTAAAATCTTTAAACATGGACTTGGAGTCTCTGAAAGTATCTGAAAGTCTTTCCAATGACTTAGAAGGCTGAAGGGCTTCTCCACAAGGCACCAAGGAATACGAGATGCTGAGTTCAGATTTTAAACGGCTTGTAAATTAGGCCATAACTGCACAGCCAACTTTGAAATATTGTACGTCACCCCTGTGCCCTTCCTGAGGTCGCTAACTAGAGGTGACATGGGAAAGCAGGGCAGAGTCTATAAATTATTATTAACTCTTTGATTTTACTGTGAGTTTCTAAGACAACAAAGTGGAAGCTCAATATCTAGAAAGAGGGCTTTGACTTGCTTGCCAGTGTGTGAACCCTTTGGCTCTAGTTCATCAAGAAGCCTATAAAAAACCTCCATGAACACACTTCAACCATTGCCCTGTACTCCTCTAATGAACACAGAAACATTCATGCCAAAGTATGATTTATAGGGGAAGGAATTCCAGTAACTGTCATTCCATCTTTTCTGTAATAAGGCCTCATGGCTGACAACTTTAGAAAACACTGTAGGGGTAGGGTGCACCAGCAAGGCAGACCACTTCTGAGGGAGAGCCGCCTCAAGATTGTCCAGTCCATCTACAGAGATTTTATTTACAAAAACAACCCACAGAAGGCCAGGAGATATGTACAACATCACACGGCTCCTGCTTTTTAATATGCCATTCTTTCAAATCAATAAAGCCAGTTTTATTGAGTGGGGTCTAATGACCCACACATTTTTTAAGTGAAGAGATCTTTTTTATAAAAAAAATGAAAAAGAAAGAAAAAAAAACACACAAACTAACTTCAGATGGTGAGTTTGACCTCAACTGGTCTTAAACTACAAAAAAAAAAAAAATAGAAAAGAAAAGAAAAGCTTAATTTTTTTCCATCTAAAGTTTAATAAAAATCATCTTTCCATTATTTCTGTGGCAGTGTCTAAGTAAACTCTCAATGCTCGTTTCTCGGTGTTGGAAAGAAATCACCCTCTAAGGTTATAAACTAACAGTTATCACTACTATAAATAAAGTATTGAACATCCCGGAGTTTATTCTGTGATGAAAATTGCAATGTGCCAGAATGAAATTATTCTTGCAGCAAACAGAATCTACACATTAAGGACCAAACACATCCCTGGTTCTCCAGCCTAAAATTCCACTGACGACCACTTTGGTTTTTATTTTTAGTGCTAAAAGGATGAAAGTTGAGGGAGGTACTTTTTTCTCCAACAGCTATGGTGAAGGGAAGTGGTATAAAATCTGCACTGATGTGCCATAGAGAATTACATGGGAGCCTGATTAGCAAACAATATACCTCACTTTGATTGCTGCCACAGCCCGAATATTCCTTGTATTCATAAGCTGTAAAGTTTTGCCCCAGCTCCCCAGTGACCCCTCCCTCATCCAATCACAGTCTCTCCCAAAGTGCCCTGGCTTCCTGTCTTGGCTCTCCACTCATCTACACCTCAAAAGACCACATCCTCTCTGCCAACACTGCCATTTTCATGATGGGCAGCACCACCCCAGGTGGGGCAGGAGGCAATCAATCATGGAACAGAAAGAAACCACAAGAACTTCTGTTGGTGTTTGTTTTCCCTACATGAATAGGAAACCTGGCTTTAATCTTTTTTGATATGCAAATGAAAGCTGCACCCTTAGTGGTTCCCATGGCAGGATGCAGAGGGCAGAGGCAGGAGGTGGTGCCTTCATTCATGGGTTAGTTTTCTGTGTCTTGTGACATTGCAGGTCACATGCGCCCAATTTGGTGGATTTATGGATTGTATTATCTGGTTTTAACTACACTAATCCTTGAAAAATAGCTAGGTGACTAAAAAAAAAATCTAAAAAGCATCATGGGACAAAATTAACATTAGGCATATCAAAGAGCAAGAGGAAAGCAGAGCTAGCATGCTTCCTCCTCCCAATAACATCCACAACTCACAAGTCACAGGCCGGTGGTGTTTAATTATGGAGGGATCTGCTCTCACTCCACAGAAAGTGTCCCTTGACTCACATGTCAATGTTGAGCCATCACAAAACTTGTTTAAAAATATATTTACTTTCCTAGGGGTGCCTAAGTGACTCAGTCAGTTAAGCATCTGATTCTTGATTTCAGCTTAGGTCATGATCTCACAGTGGCCTTGTGGGATCGAGCACTGTATTGGGCTCCACACTGGGCATGGAGCCTGCTTAAATTATCGTTCTCCCTCTGCCCTTCTCCCCACTCACACACTCTCTTTCTCTCAAAATAAAATGTATTTACTTTCCTCATGTTTTTTTTAATTCTCCTTTTTCTGTATATTTAAAGTCCAAATTTTTTTAAAGTTTATTTATTTTTGAGAGAGACAGAACATGTGCAAGTGGGAGAGGGGCAGAAAGAGAAGGAGAGACAGAGAATCCCAAGCAGGTTCAGCATTGTCAGGGCAGAGCCCCATATGGGGCTCAAACTCACAAACCATGAGATCATGACCTGAGCTGAAATCAAGAGTTGGATGCTTAACTGACTGAGGCACCGAGGCACCCCTCATGTTCATAGACTCTTAAAGGAGTGGAACTTATATCATTAATAAATAAAACATACTGGATACACACTCAAAATTGGTTTACAAATAAGGGTGTGTGTTAAAAATAATAAAATAAGAATGAAACCAAAAGTGTAGTTCGTGTCTTTGGGTTCCCCCAGAAACAGATAATGAGACATGGATTCATATGCAAGTTGTTTACCTGCAATCCCAGGATGTACTAGCAGTGAGTGACAGAGAGACAGGGAAAAAAGCAGTCACAACGTGGTGCACAATCAAGCAAGTTAGTCTGAGGATAACAGGAGCTTGATTTTCCTGGGGAATTCTGAGAGCCACTGTAGAACACAACTCAGTGCCATACCACTTGAGATGAGAGATAGGAGACCTGGGGTATTTATGCACCAACTTTCCTCAGTCATCTCCAGAGGGCTACTCCCAGAGACGCCTTAATTTTCTAATCCTCCTGGCCTGTGCAGGCTCTAATAGCCAAAGAAATTCTCAGGTAAAGAAATGAAGGTAATGGCCAAAAAGAGGCCAACAGGCATTGAAAAGTGCATGTTTGGGGATAGAAAGGGAGCTACACCACCTCTCTGATAGGAACTTCAACAACACACAGGTCGTTTCTACTTTCATAGCTACTTTCAATGTGATAGCTTTCTTGCCTTGCCCTTCAGGCTTACCACACCCATTTGGTCTCTCCAAACACAAGACAAGTTCCTTTGAGGTAGATCCCACACACATCTTTTTCTCCCTCAGTACCTTGCACAGGGACCAGCAATTTTTAACATCTGGGGCATGTTTATTGAAGATCTACAATACATCAGGCAATCCTCCAGATACCAGGAATAAAACAATGAACAACATAAATTCATCCCCCATGGAGGTTACATTTTGTTCACAGATGCTTAGATACTTTATTTGTCTCTATTGGCCCTTGCATAAGATAGCTTTTGTGGCATAATAAACTCTTAGTAGCATACAACCATGAGAATGTATCCTGCTCATGAGTCTGTTGGGTTTGGGGCAGCTCTCTTCAGCCTGTAGCAATGGGCCAACTTCATTCCAAGGTCTCTCATTTTCCTCCCTTCCACTCCTACCAGGATCTGGAGGCCAGCAGAGCACTTTCTTCTCACGAGATGGCAAAGGGTCAAGAGCAACAACAGAATTGTGTGATGCATCTTAAGGTCTAAACTCAGAACTTGGGCATTGTCACTGGTGGCCAAAGCAAATCACAAGGCCATGCCCAACATCAAGAGGATAAGACATGTACTTATCCTCTAGATGTGAGGGGACAAATCACTTGACAAAAGATACCAATATATGGAGGAGTGAAGAATCAAGGTAATAGTGCTCCTATTTGCAATTCAAAAATACATAAGCAGAAACATTTTTATCATCATCATCATCATCATCACTATTTCTGTGCCCCTCTCAGAGCTAATGCAATGAACCTTCATTAACTTCTGCCCCTCCTTCATCCCATGTGTTTTCAGGTGAGTGATCACTCTTCCTCCAGTAAGCAAGTAGGTATCTCTCTTGGCCTACCCAATTCAAGC